TTGTACCAATTGGGGGGTGGTGGACCCCAAATACAGATTTTATGTTAAATATATGACGACCCTGATTGTTGCTACATACTTTTGTACATAATATGTTAGTATTAAATTTACTATTGTTATATAAGAAGCACAACAAAACCTTTAGTTTTCTGCAAAATTTTTGTATTTTAACACAACGTCATTTAAAAAATTTCGAGAGTTAAGAACAAAAATGTTTACTTTTTAAAAGAGTTTAACAATTGCTACTATATTTAATATATAGTATATAGAATAAATAGAAATTTGACTATAAAAGAAATTTATCTATCTAAACAAAATAGTATTGGCAAACAATTTATAGTGTTACGAGTATATACTAATTTGACAGTTTCCAAAAATATGATCACTGATTTTTATTAAGGTTCTAAATGAAATTGTTACTATGTTTATATGAACAGCATATTGCATATTAGTTTTGGAATCGGTAAAGTAATTGGTTGTTGAATTTATGATTTTTCAAAAAATAAACTCAATCCTTATTTTATTTAATTTAATAATTTAATATTTTAGAAAATTATACGAATTTTGATAATTATGACTCCTTAACGCAGCATTATTATGAAAATTTAATAATTTTTTTTACAATTTCGCTTATTTTCAAAAAATGCCTTGCTTAATACAAGCTGTTGTTAAATTAAGTATTAATTAACATTAAATTATGCTATAATGTAAATGTTAGAAATAAAAAATTTTAAAAATTTTCAAAATTTATTTTCACATACTCAAATAACATTTCTTTGTCCTAATTATAATATTAAATCCTTGTAAATATTATATCGCTATTCTATACAACATCTCTTTGGCCTTCGAATTATTATTTTATATTAATCAATTTGTTAAATAGATTAATATACCAATTAAATGGGAAAGATTGAAAATATTAAATAAAAAAATTTTTTTTTTTGTTACTGAAAGAATTGCCAACAAGAAAAAAACTTTTAATTAATATTCAATTCCGAAATCTATTTAAATGTTCCCAAAAGTAAAATTTGCATAAAAAAAGAGAAACAAGACCAAAAAATAACAGTTTTTAATGAAAATATACAAAAAAATTTCGTTATACGAAATCCAAAATATATAGAAAACATTATTTTATCACATATATACATAATATATATGTACTTAAATGTCCTTTGTATTATGTCGAAGAAGACCATATGTTGTTCAATAAAAACTTCCAATACAAAATGAATTTTATTGAAAAGGGAATTTTCTAAGACGTTAAATAATAAAGACTTGATAGCCAACTCACATACCAAATCTATATATTTATTATATAATATATATATGTATATATATATATATATATATGTATTAATATATAAACATTATCCCTTTTTTTCAAACGTCATGACTAAAGAATATTTTTATATTCTTACATGCGTAGCTTATGGTAAATATACTTATAATGATATTATAATATGAACTATATTTCGTATGCTATTAATTGTAATGCATAGTTTAGGAAAAAAAATAGATGGCAAACAGTTTGTTTGAAGCTGCGCGATTACTTGTTAAACATATTGTATGTATTAATAAATTTATAGTTAAATTGCAATAGTCTTTGAAAAAAAAAAAATCCTAAACTATTTGATTCACTTTTTTGTTTAAAAATTTATTCGCGACAATATAAAATCAGGCCATTACTTGCTCTGTAATTAAATATTTATGAAAAAGTGACGAGCTTTCGAATTAATCCTTTGAATTAAAAGTTATATGAACTCAGCAAATATTAATGTATTTATACCTGTTTCCATTTAGGGTATATAGGGTCATCAATTTTAAATTTTAACAATTTATAGATATCGATATATGACTTATTTTAGAAGGTGTCAATTGTTCAAAATTTGTAAAATTTTAATTTTCTGTGTCAGTATACAAGACTGAAGACTAAAAATTTTAGATAAATACTCCTATAACACAAAAGTGTGCTATACTATTATCTAGTTAACTAATTTCTATAATTTTTTTCAAAATTATTCTATTTAAGATTTATCCTAAATTTATGCAAAATTAATTATATGGTAATAAAAGATTTAATTTTAGATTTTCATTATTGAGACACAAGGCTATATATGCATATGCTTAAATATAGATCAAGTTTTAGACTTAAATTTTAAAAAAGGAAATGTTCTATTTTACGTACCATTAATTTGGTCGGCTACATTTGTTTTTATATTTTGTTAAATGAATATTACATATGAAAATTTATTGAGATAAGAAAAAAAAACATAAATTTATTTATAAATATTTTTATATAATATATGTATGTAAATTGGTATGTAAAATTACACATTACACACATATTTCAATCAATATTGGAAAATATTAAATTGTCCTTTCTTCTTTATATTTGGTCGGTCACATCTGGTGTAAAAAATCATTTTTGTTTTTTTTTTTGTTTTTTTTCATATTACCATTTATGATTTTTTTTTATATCGTATATCATGATAAGAATTTGTAACATTTTGAAAAACCACAAAATATCTTTTTCATTTTTATTTCGTATAGGTATATATATATATATGTCTAGGACTTTATGATATTAATTTTATAAGGAAATTTATATATTTTGCCACATATCCGAAGATAAACTTGACCGGAATAAGCGTGTATTGTATTTCAATTTTTTTTTGTTTTTTCTATTTTTCGTTTTCTCTTTGATAATAATATGATTTGATATTATAAAGATATCATAATAATAAGATTTATGGGTCAATAGATAAATTCATATATGTATAAAAAATAAAATAGAACTACACTGATACATATGTATATTTTATGTATATAAAAAATACAGAATGAAGATAAAGTTATTAAACAATTTAATTTAAAAACAAGTAAAAACGTTTCAGTCGGTATAAACCGATTGAATTATACCCTGCACCTTTCGTTATTGTGTAGCAATTACTCGAACCTGTGAGATCATTCTATAGAAACTTCACGGACATGTCTGACCTATCATTGGACATCCGACTGCCAAGTTTCATCAATCTGACCTTATAATTTTTCAAAATATTTAAAATTAGCTTTTGGAGTTGTATGGTAAGTACCTAAACCTGTCAAGCAATTTCATCAAAACTTCACAAATATATCTGATCTATAATCGGACACACAACTGCCAAGTTTCATGAATCTGACTTTATTATTTTTCCAAATATTAAGAATAAGCTTTTAGACTTGTATGGGATCTACTCGAACCTGTTAAGCAATTCCACCACAACTTCAGAAACATGTCTGACCCATAATTGGACACATGACTGCCAAGTTTCATGAATCTGACTTTATTATTTTTCCAAATATTAAGAATAAGCTTTTAGACTTGTATGGGAGCTACTCGAACCTGTCAAGCAATCGCATCAAAACTTTAGAAATATGTCTGACCCATAATTGGACACACGACTGCCAAGTCTCATGAATTTGACTTTATTATTTTTCCAAATATTAAGAATAAGCTTTTAGACTTGTATGGGAGCTACTCGAACCTGTCAAGCAATCGCATCAAAACTTTAGAAATATGTCTGACCCATAATTGGACACACGACTGCCAAGTCTCATGAATTTGACTTTATTATTTTTCCAAATATTTAAAATAAGCTTTTGGGGTTGTATGGCAAGTACCCGAACCTGTCAAGCAATTCCACTAAAACTTCACAAATATATCTGATCTATAATCGGACACACAACTGCCAAGTTTCATGAATCTAACTTTATTATTTTTCCAAATATTTAAAATTAGCTTATGGAGTTGTATGGCAGGTACCCGAACCTGTCAAGCAGTTCCTCCAAAACTTCGGAAATATATTTGACCTATAATTGGACACATGACTGCCAAGTTTCATGAATCTGACTTTATTATTTTGCCGAATATAAAAAATTTGCTGTTGGAGTTGTATGGCAGCCACCCGAATCGGTGCAGCTATCCCATTATAATTTTTAGAGCATGTGTAGAATATAATTGGACACATGTATACAAAATTTTATATTTATAGCTTTATTAGTTTTTGAAATATTTAAAATAAACTCTTGGAGTTGTATGGCAGCTACCCGAACCCGTTGTCCGACTTAGTCCAATAACAATAGGGTTCGTCCTTGGCACAAAAGAAAAAACTTGTGAAAGTTTGGTGTCGATTGCATTATTCGTTTTTGAGTTATCGTGCGATCGGACGGACGGACGGACGGACGGACGGACGGACGGACGGACGGACGGACGGACGGACATGTCTAAATCGACACAGAATTTTACGCTGAGCAAGAATATATATATATGTCCATACCGCAGATGACTCCTTCAAGTAGTTACAAATTCCATACCAAAGTTAATATACCCTTCACGAAGTGCAGGGTATAAAAAAATGAGCATCTTTTTGTGGAGATATTATTTGTTGAAAATGTTTTAAAAATCCATAAGATTTAAAATTATTTTACAAAAAGTTTAATTGTCCGTAAAATTTGTTTTTAATGTAAGAAATATGATTATTATATCGGAACTAAAAAACGGTAACTATTGAAGCTTTTCAAATATAAGTAACTAACAATATGCGTCTCCAACAGTGATAAAGTCGATTGTGGCCCAAATTGCATGTTTCCTTCATTAATTGAAGCCTATCAAATGGGTAACTGAATTAATTCGATATAAATTATAATTAGCCATCAAAAAAACTTATGTAACTTGAAAAAATTACTCAAAATGAGTGTTTTCTGAAAATCAAAATGTTATTTCAGAAAATAATTGAAAATGCTACTTCTATAGAGGGCGCACCAAAAAAAGAATTCGAAAAAAAGCTATTCGAAAAATTTCACTCAAAACTGTAACTAAAATGTTATTATAATAGATCAATTTTAATATGAAAGAGAGGATTTTCTAAATTTGAATAAAATTTGGAATGAAAAATATAAGGCTGTTGGTTCCAATATAAATTGAATATTATTTTTTTTATATTTAAAATTCAATTACTTACCAGAATATTCAATTATGCTGTAATTAAAATAAAAAATGATTATTTATTAATAAAAATTTTTTTTTGTATATAGTTTAAAAATTAATAATGAAAGTAATTTTTTAAGAATCTTGTATAGGGTCGAAGGAGTTATATAGAAACTAAATTAGGGAGTTGTAATAAAAAAATATATTTTCGCATCTCTAAAGTAAGTTAATTAATTAACTAATTATGATTAGTACTTTAAAGTAAGCATTTTGAATAAAAAGAGGTGATATTTATTACGGGAATAGCTCTTATATCACAACAGAATACGTTATTTGTTAAATACTTAATACCTTGGATGGAAAAATCGAACAATGCGAACAGAAAACAGTAAGTCGTTTTAATTTCATGTATAAATTTATGAAGATTTATTATAGCTAATATTAAAGGTACCTTTATATGTTTATATTTGCTATGGGCCGGGAAGAACTTGAAGTTTTGAAAATTTTTTTGTTGAATTAGAAAGAGGTCTAATTTAGTTTTAAAATTTTAATTGAAGCTTTCCTAAGTTGCCTTTAAAAAAGTTATTTATTAAGATGTTTTGTTACATGCTGTAAACATTTTATTTTCACATACTCGTATGTTATATTCATATAATAGTATATTTTGTGGAACATACAAAGTATAATATTAAATCTTCAAATTTTTATATTCCATTAAACGCAAATATTACTTTTTTTTTATTCATAAAGATTTTTTTTTTAAATAAATCGAAATACTCATATAAATTCATGTTCATATATTATAATATATGAATATATATTATATAGACTAGTTTAACATATATTTAGTTTATATGTATATTTGCGTTTGTATATAAAATAACCATGTAAAATTGTAATTGAACCACTAAATTCTAAGATAATATTAGAAATTTTTTATATATTTAGTTAGATATCGTATAATCTGTGATTTTTTTTATAAAACCGGATTCCAGTGAAGATTTTCTATTTTTGTAACAAGAAAGAAAAAAATCGCCATAAATATAATTTTGTTATTTTGACTCAATAATTTTATTTTGACTTTCATTTTATGTTTTTCACTTATTATTTTTCCTTTCCGTTTCTATTTCGAGTTTGTTTGACAGATAGCTACTTATTTAATAATAAAATGTTATATAATAGTATATAAAAACTATGTGATCTTGATTATATATGTTTTAAATCAAAATAAAATTGTATAATATTTTGAAAAATAAAAGAGAATCTTACATTAATTGTGGCACAATAAATGAATGTGTCAAACGTCATGTGTCAAATTCCAATGTGTTAAATTAACCTTATATTTTTTAATCAATTCATTAATTTTTATAGACTAAAGTCATAATTAATGTAAGATTTCTAAAAATTAATGAAATATTGAAAATTGTTAAACAATAAAAAGTAATTTGACATTTTGTAGATAAATATTTGTTTCACCCTGTACAAAATTTTTTTCAAGTTCTTCCTTATCTCAATCAAAAATCAAAATAACAAGATTATTATTTTCTTAAGAACAAAATTTGTGACAGAGCAATAATATAATTTTATTTTTATTCTCAATTCACAATAATTTCATATATAGTATTTTTAACATTTTGGCATAAAACCTTCTATATTTATCTCTTTCTTCTTGTCTAACAAAATAATTTTTGATATTTTAGTTAAATATAGCATATTATTTTATAATTGATATTATCTTAGACGCACGCAGAAAAACAATATTGTGTGCATAATGTAGCTTTATAGTATAAATAAATGCCGTATAGAAAAAAATGTACTAAAATAAAGCAAATTGTACTAATTTAAAAAGAAATTACTAAAATAAAAGTAGTTACTAAATTATAACAAAAGTTGAATGAAAATTTTTAAAAATTTAAAATTTCATGTTTGTTTCGAATTTTAAACGCATGAAATGCTTTTTCTAAGTATACGTCATGCACTTAGATAGATTCTGATAGATTCGATGAAGCTACCCGATTCTCTTATCTAAGTACATTCAATCGGGTAGTGATCTTTGAAGCTGCTTTTGTATGATAACTACTTTCAGAAGATGAATATGACTTTGAAGACAGAAAATTTGTTTAGATAATGCTGATTTAATCATATACATACATAATATAAATTTTAAATTTGAGTAAAATATTTTAATTGCCCTAGCATTAGAAGAGGTCCCCAAATATTTTGGTAATTTTTTAAGTTTCTTGAAATTTGTGTTACTGAAATAATTCTATTATGCATTCTATTTTATGAAGCCATTATTATAAAGTAAATATTTCTAGAATTACATTCTAGAATCAAACACGTTTAACAAAGAAAAAATAATTAATTGTATTTCGCCATAATTTTGGAATTATTCCTTCTCCAATATTTTATTTTGCATTAAGAAAATTTATATTGATATTGGTAAATATAAGTTATAGACTTTAATAATTATTCCCGTGTTATAAACGAACTTTGCACATAATATTATAAACTATGCATTTACAACATGTTAGAATATATGATAGACTGCATGAGTAGGAGAAATGTTGAAAAAAAACAAAAATCTTAACTGTATGTATACAACAATTGACCGTGTTTGATGCAATGCAGATACGCAAAAAAAAAAATCTACGAAATATGTACATACATATATATGTATATAATGCACGTAAAAATTGTACACATGGTGTGTATGTATAGAAATAAGTGTTATAAGTATGTGTTTATGTATTGAAAAACACTAGTAAAAGATCGCGTCTTTAATACCATTTATAACCATAACAATAAATTTTCATGATGGAAATTCTTTTTTTATTAGGTTATGTTAAGGTATGTATAACGAAAAACAAGAAAAAAAAATCGGAATAAGTACAATGATTTTTTTTTTTACTGACTTTTCCCAGGTGACCAAATAAAAATTCAATATTTATAACCTTAAATGACCTTGCAATTTTTATATCCATACAATAATGGATTTAAAAAAAAAAGAAAACTACATTTTTGTTGACTCTTTACTCAATTTCTATACATCTAGCAGCTTGTTAATATAAACAATAAGTTTTGCAGCTGTTTAAAAGCAAATACTCTCGCACTAATATTCTTAATATTCTGGATTTATGTAGTTTGCGTTTCTTTTTTCCATGCTATTAAATCATAATTTCTAATTAACGGTGATTAAACCTATATGTATATAAAAGTTATATGTGTTTCCTTGGTTTAATTAGTTATTTTTAAAGGTGTTTTAATATCATTGCATTACGTGAATTTTATACCTTTAATTTTGTGTTTTTTATTCTAAAAACTTATTCATTTATAGATTCCTTCAATGAAAAAGCAATTAATAAGAAGGACTATATTAAATATTATAACATTTTGAGAAACGGACGGTTTGATCTATACTTAATCTGTCCACTGAAATTTTCATTTATACTAGGAAATCCTGAAAATATTACAGCAACTTCATTTTTTAATTATGTATATCATACAATTTTTAACAATTTTTAACAATTTTCATGGTCTCTATAGTGGATTAGTCTTCCTCTTTTCTTTACTTCATTTACTTTAGAAAATGTTCCAGTTAACAAATCATTCAAGGCAAAAATGATCTAAATGCAAGTTTGTTATAAAGCAGCGAATCGGTTCCAAAATATTATTGAATATATTCCTGTAGATAGTATTCGTCTGAATACAAATTTTTCCACAAATTTTCTCGAATCGATGAATGATTTTTAAATTAGATTAGGATAATTCGGTAGCATTGCATTGTTTAAATGTTAAAATGGAAAATTTATAAATAAAAAAAATTCTGACGTCAACAAATAATTCGTAAATTAATTTTTAATTCAAAATACAAAATCATTCTTTTAAATCGAATTTGACAGCGATTCGATTATTCAATTCGATTATTAAAAAAATTTATCATTAATAACTCGTTTATATTTTTCTTTTTATCTACATTTATAGCTATGTTTAAAATATTTTGTAGTTTGAGTTTATTTGAGGACCAGATTAAGCAATATTGATTTATTTATAATATTTTTCCAAATTGAATTTTTTGTTGATAATAAAAAAAAACTATTTAATTTTAGTTTGAAGAATTTCAAAAATTTATTTATATAAAAAAACAAAAGCATATTTAATTGGAAGAATTAATCAAGCTTAATCTGGCTGTAAATTTAGAATTCTATAACATAAAATACTATATAGATTAAATAAGATTGTGAATGAAAAATCTGTACAACAATATTTTCAAATATAGTTTGAAAGGCAAATTAAATATTTATTTTTCATATTGACTTATGCCATTTGGCGATTATAAATAAAAAAACATAAGTATTTTTTTTATAAATATGTAATCAAATTTATTTTTAACTTTTGATAAAAATTTTTTTATATATTGTTGTTATTATGTGTGTTTTATTAACATTTAATATTTTTGTATTTGTTTTTTTTTTTATTGGTTCAGAAATATGAAATTTAAATATTTGAATTGAATTTTTTAAATAATTTACATAAACTTATTAAGGAATAATTTACATAAACTTATTAAGGAAAAACTTATTTAGTGCACAAGTATTACAAATGTTAATGTTGCAACAATAATATCTTAGGTTCAATTGGCCCTCATGTTTTATTCCATTAATTCTTTTCAAGTGTCAAAATTGTGAAGGAACACTTTTGTTTTTAAAGGGAACTAGCTTAGTCAATGTACTTTAAAAAACTTAGATAATATTTTAATATAATTAAAAATTTGTTCGTAAAGAATAGCAAATTTAATCTAAATATGTAATTGAATAGTGACAATTTTTGAAAATTAGTATATGTGAATATACATATAAGTGAATAAAATTTAGGACCTTATTTCTAACTGATTTTTACCTTCAAATTCGTATACAGTCTTCTGATTTTAATAATCTTCTTTTATTGATATTAATATTATATAATAGAAACTGAAATTAAATAAAATTATGCCGAATCTTTGAAATAATATAATTATGTTGTACTCGTATGTACCTAAGGGAGCGAAAGAG